GGAGACGTTGTTATACTCGATCAGGGGATATGTTATACTCGATCAGGGGACTTTGTTATACTGGACCAGGGGACTTTGTTATATTCGATCAAGGGTCTTTGTTATACTCGATCTGGGGACTTTGTCATACTCGTCCAGGGGGCTTTGTTATAGTAGGATCACTGGACTTTGTTATACTCGATCTAGGGACTTTGTTATACTCGATCTGGGGACTTTGTTATACTAGTATCAGGGGACTTTGTTATGCTCGACCAGGGGACTTTGTTATACTCGACCAGAGGCCTTTGTTATACACGGTCAGGGACTTTGTTATAATCGATCAGGGGACTTTGTTATGCTCGATCTGGGGATTTTGTTATACTGGGCCATGGGACTTTTTTATACTCGATCAGCGGACTTTGTTATACTGGTTAAGGGGACTTTTTTATTCTCGGTCAGGGGACTTTGTTATACTCGATCAGGGGACTTTTGTTATACTCGATCAGGGACTTTGTTATACTCGACCAGGGGCCTTTGTTGTACTCGATGAGGGGCCTTTCTTATACTCGATTAGGGGCATTTGTTATACTAAATCAGGGGACTTTGTTATACTCGATTAGGGGCCGTTTTTGGACTCGATGAGGGGCCTTTGTTATACTCGATCAGGAGACTTTGTTATACTCGATCAGGGGACTTTGTTATACTCGACCAGGGGACTTTTTTATACTTGACCAATGGACTTTGTTATACTCACTGAGGGGCCTTTGTTATACTCGATCTGGGGACTTTGTTATACTCGGGAAGGGGAGTTTGTTATACTCGATCAGGGGACTTGTTTATACTCGACCAGAGGACTTTGTTATACTCGATCAGGGGACTTTGTTAGACTCGACCAGGGGACTTTTTCATATTTGAACAATGGACTTTGTTATACTCAATGAGGGGCATTTGTTGTACTTGATCAGGGGAATTTGTTATACTCGATCAAGGAACTATGTTATACTCGAACCAGGGAACTTTTTTATAATTAATCAGGGGACTTTGTCATACTCGATCAGTGGAATTTCCTATATTTGACCAATGGACTTTGCTATACTCGATGAGAGGCTTTTGTTATACTCGATCAGGGGACTTTGTTATACTCGACCAGGGGACTTTATTATACTCGATCTGGGGACGTTGTTATACTCGACCAGAGGACTTTGTTATACTCGATCAGGGGATATGTTATATTCGATCAGGGGACTTTGTTATACTCGACCAGGGGACTTTTTTATACTTGACCAATGGACTTTGTTATACTCGATGAGGGGCCTTTGTTATACACGATCAGGGGACTTTGTTATACTCGAGCAGGGGACTTTGTTATACTCGATCAGGGGACTTTTTTATACTTGACCAATGGACTTTGTTATACTCGATGAGGGGCCTTTGTTATACACGATCAGGGGACTTTGTTATACTCGAGCAGGGGACTTTGTTATACTCGATCAGGGGACTTTGTTATACTCGTCCAAGGGGCTTTGTTATTATCGATCAGGGGACTTTGTTATACTCGATCAGGGGACTTTGTCTTACTCGACCAGGGCCCTTTGCTATAAGCGACCATGGGACGTTGTTATAATCGATCAGGGGACTTTGTTATGCTCGATATGTGGACTTTGTTTTACTGGGCCAGGGGACTTTTTAATACTCGATCAGGGGACTTTTTTATACTCGACCATAGGACTTTGTTATACTAGTATCAGGGGACTTTGTTATGCTCGATCGGGGGACTTTGTTATACTGGGCCATTAGACTTTGTTATAGTCGATTAGGGGATGTGTTATACTCGATTAGGGGACTTTGTTATACTGGACCAGGGAACTTTTTTATACTTGATTCGGAGACTATGTTATACTCGATCAGGGGACTTTTGTTATACTCGATCAGGAGTCTTTGTTATACTCGACCAGGGGCCTTTATTATACTCAATCACCAGACTTTGTTATACTCGATAAGGGGACTTTGTTAGACTCGAAAGGGGGACTTTGTTAACCTCGACGAGGAGCTTTGTTATACTCGAATAAGCGGCTTTGAAATACTCGATCAGGGGACTTTGTTTTACTCGATGAGGGGCCTTTGTTATACTCGATGAGGGGCCTTTGTTATACTAGATCAACGGACTTTGTTATACTCGAACAGGGGACTTTCTTATACTCGAGCAGGAGGCTTTGTTATACTCGATCAGGGGACTTTGTTATTCCCAATGAGGAGGCTTTGTTATACTCGATCAGGGGACTTTGCTATACTCGACCAGGGGACTTTGTTATACTCGATCAGGGGACATTGATATACTCGATCAGGGGACTTTTTATACTTGACCAATTGACTTTGTTATACTCGATGAGGGGCCTTTGTTATACTCGATGAGGGGCCTTTGTTATACTCGATCAGGGGACTTTTTTATACTCGACCATAGGACTTTGTTATACTCCATCAGGGGATATGTTATACTCCATCAGGGTACTTTGTTATACCCGATCAGGAGACTTTGCTATACTCGACCAGGTGACTTTGTTATACTCGATTAGGGGACTTTGTTATAATAGACCAGGGGACTATGTTATACGCGATCATGGCACTTTTTTTACTCGACCAGAGGACTTTGTTATACTCGATCAGGGGAATTTGTTATACTCGTTCAGAGGACTTTGTTATACTCGATCAGGGGAATTTGTTATACTCGTTCAGAGGACTTTGTTATACTCGATCAGGGGACTTTGTTATACTCGATCAGGGGACTTTGTTATGCTCGATCTGGGGACTTTGTTATACTCGATCAGGGGACTTTGTTATACTCGATCAGGGGACTTTGTCTTACTCGATGAGGGCCCTTTGCTATACTCGACCAAGGGACTTTGTTATAATCGATCAGGGGCCGGATACTCAAAAACATTTATGGGACTGTATGTCTTTGTTTACCCCGTAACTGGACTTACAGTCTCAGATCGGTATACTCAAAACACAGATGGCATACTCAAAACACAGATGGCATACTCAAAACACAGATGGTATACTCAAAACACAGATGGTATACTCAAAACCAATATTTGACATCGAACTCCGTAAGTTAACGCAAGTAACTTACACCAGCTCCCGAGGTTGTGTAACACTCTCAACCCGGATGTAGTAGTGACTAATTCCCGATTGTATAGAAAATAATAATAATATATGTTGTAATAATGCTTGTTAGACTTGTTTTATCATAGAATAAAGAAGAAAATGTTTTGTACATCAACATACTGAAATAGAATATTTCACTTTGTCTTTTTGGTAACTTTTTTGTTGTATAATAAGCTGCTTGAGTGTTTGTATTTGTCGCAGTTTGGAAGAGACGCATCTTTTGTCTTCTTACACATTATAAAGTATTTCTTACCAAAATAGAAGGTTTGTATTGTTCACACTTAGGGTAAAAATATGTTTTATGACTGAGTAAACTTGCAGATAGAACTTATTAATGTTGTATAGCCGTAAATATCCCTCAGTAATGAAAGCCAAATATGAGGTCAAGTGAACATTCCTGCCAAGACTTCGCCTTGTTTTTGTAATATTCAACCAATAGCCTTAGCCTATTTTCTTATGTATATGGCTTATGATAACATGAAAGGCTATAAATTTCCATAGGTTAGCGAAAATTAAATGATATTAGGTGTAAAATATGGATTGCAATTAACTTGATTAATAGGTGCCTATATAACTGCTTTTTCAGTCTTAGGCAAATAAATGTTTAAACATGGGGCCTACTTAATTTAGTTAGAACATGAGGATTATTTAAATAAGAAATTATACTAATAGGGTATAGGTTAGATAGGTTTGGTTTGGTTATGTTATGTTATGTTATGGTATGTTAGGTTAGAGAATGTGTACATGGTTTTTGGTGAGCGTCAGGCCGTCAGTGAGACACTTTGTCTAGCAGCTACCTTAGGCCTAGTTCCACACTTTCCTTGAACATTATCATAGGTAGAGTATAAATTTAAGAAAATTTCGGCTAATCCGATATATTTTCAGGTTTTAAATTGTTGTTTTTTGTATGAACTTGAAGACAATTCAGACCAAATGTTCCCAACATTGAAAGGAAAACACTAGGGTCTAGGCTAAATGAGTAATTTAAGAGAAGTGATTTGTCATTTAGGTTAGGCAAGGCTATACTATCATTAACCAATTTATTTGAATTTGCCCAGAATAAGGCTATCTTATTATAGCTTATGTGTCTTGTCACAGGCCAACATTATGCAAGGGATTATTTACCTAAATTCTAGTGGGGTAAAACACCAAATACTGTGAGATCTCTGTTAGCCGGAACAATTGGTGAAGAGCACTACCGTGAATGAATGAGTGTTTTCCCGTTAACGAGACAGTTATCACAAATCAAGAAAATATCCCTCATCCCCAGAATGTTTATGGTAATGGAAAAATTTTCTCTGTAGTTCCTGCAATTGCCCATTACATCATCTCTCGAACCCGGAAATATATCCCCCATCTCCGGAATTTTCTCGGTTATCTGGGAAACTTTCCTCATAGTTTTCAGGAAAATTTGCCTCTCTGAAAGTCATTTACCTAAGCCGTAAGTTTCTTGCAAAATCATGCTTTGGGAATTAATTTTAGATAAAATTTCAATTACGGCTTTCAGAAAGTTCAGGGTTTCAAGGATTCCGGCTAACGGAGAAGGCTGCTGTTCCTACCAGAAATCAGTTTTAAATGCGAGTATGTGACAGACTTTGAGGCAAGAGGATGTCTTTCAAATGCTTTTAACACCCTTATTTACTTGAATAATGAATAATTTTTTTCAATTTTAAATGAATACAGAGATTTTAACGCGTTGTGCATTTTTCAGTATTTTACCCCTAAGAGCCAGGCAAAACCTTAAGGCTGTAATTTTTGTTTTTCACAGGCATAACCCTTCAATTCTAGGCCTAATGATAAAACTTTGAATTAGTTAGTATCAACATAAAAACAATACTGTAACAAACTTCTAAACCATTGCATAATTTTTTGTCCTGCAGATTGATCCAGTAACACTTGGACCTCATTTTCCAGTTACCCTGCAATGGATCTTGTTGTAGCTTATCTGCATGATCGAGCTTTACGACGTGAACGAAGGTATCGGGACCCTTTGGATCCCAAAAATATAAGCGATGAAAATCAAATTAGATATAGGTTTCCTCGATGTGAAATTCTAAGACTGTGTTAAGATTTAGATCCATTTTTAAGGCGTAGAACGAGAAGATCTCATGCTGTTCCCATACACACGCAAGTGTTAGTTGCCTTAAGATTTTATGCCAATGGAACCTTTCAACATGTACTTAGTGATACAGCTGAAGCTGTAGCAGGGACAGGCCAAGCAGTCCGAGCCAATGTAGTCCGTAATTGGTTTACTTGATGAATTAAAATCAAATATCAATTCACCAATACAATTTTCTTCTATGTTTAAATAGTACTTTTTAGTGCAGTATACAGAGGTAATGCGAATAAAGCGTACATTGATTTAACTTTTATTTTCAATATTCTGTACATAAAAAAATAAACTTCTTTATAGAAATTAAATGGCTTTCTTTTACCTTAATAATATATGTACTATATCCTTGAGCAAATTTGATTCCAATACAGTATACTTTTAATACTACTAAATACCAAAGGCACTAAAGTTTGTGAAACAAAAAATCCCTTATATAAAACATATTTGAGAAATTGAAACAATAAAAAAATATTGCTACTGTTTGCATCTTAAACTACCGTACACAATTTGACATGGGTCACCACATCGTTGTGAAATAATAATACAACTACTGTTATTTGTTGCCATTTTTTAGATTTAAGAATGGAATACAGTATAATTTTCATATGTCTAGAATTACCTGCATCAATACCCGTAAATTAAAAGAAACTTATAACCCAATACTGTACTACTGCAAGTAATAAAGAAAAAATAGAATACAGTACTCTTTGCTTGTTAAGCTACAAAATGTAACATGAGACAGCACATCCTTATGAAAGAACCAATGCAACAACTTGCGCTTTGGAGACTAATGTGTGTTAAATAGCAGCGATTACAGTAGGCTGTTGGTGAATTTGCACCATTATTTCTGTTTCAACCTACTTGAATCATACTTCGCAAACTACAAACTAATAAATAAAACTCGTTGAACTGGAAATTGACTACGTCTTACAAAATAAAGGAACCTTTAAAAAATAAAAATAAGTACATGAGCCTCTTTTCAAACATATAATTTTGAGAGTGGTAGGAACTTTTACCCAAAGCTTGGGTAAACATTACCCGTAGTAGCACTGCAACCCATGTTATTAGTTGACAAATGTGTGTCTTTCACTTAACTTCGTGATTTTAATTAACTTATGGAGAGCTAAATATTCCTGTTACATTTTCATGACTAGTATAGGCTGCAAGTGAAAGTTACACAATTTTTTAACATGCGGTCTTCCTTCATAACAATCACTCAAAGGAAAATTTATAATTGTTTGATGACTTTTCAACTACGCTATTATCACATTTACCAAAAGTAAAGGACTTACCTAAGTAAACAACTACATATACACATACCATAAACACAGCATCATTGGATAGGATTTTTCGACTGCATAACTTTTGCAATGCATAGTATTGCAGATGCAATGCACTCTGTGTGAGCTACAAGCTGTAAAAAACTGTCCCTCATTTGTGTTTGAACACGAAGCATCTCTCGAAGAAGATCTTCATCTTTTCGGGCAGAAGAGGTTCGTGGCCTCCTGCCACTACTGTTCGTACTTGGCATTGGAGATGAATCCATTTCATCAGTGTAATCACCAGTTACAGTTGACCTAACAGCTGTGGCAGAAGGGGTACTAGACCTACTTCGCTGTTCCTTGGTAGCAGCAATAGGTTGACGAGTATTGCTTGAACTACATGTTTCTACCTCATATGTTCCGGATGATGAAAATCCAGAAATGTTTGTAGGTGCTGAAGTTTCAGGTTCTAAATGCACAATGGGTACTGTGATATCATGTTCCTGTATATCCTCATTCAGAATGCGGGTTATAGAATCATCTTTCTCTTGAACGGGCCGAAACATAAATTCCTCTCGGAAACAACTACCGGTAGCTGTAAACCTAGCTCCTGAGGGTCTGGGGGTTGGTTCTCTTTCTTCTTCTGGAAAGAAATGTAGTATAAAAGGTTGATTGAAGTCTATGTTAAGAGTATAATTAAAATATTACACTGTATTTCCAAATATACAAAAGCTTTTAGGAAAAATAATGGTTTGAAAAATAGTGTTGACTATCTAAATATATTTGTTTAAAATATTTTTAAATCTAAATATCAACTAGGCGTTAAATTTCTTATATTTGCACTTCTCAATTTTGTCCATTAACATACGAGTTATAAAAACATTTAATATATAAATTAGGGAAGCAATAAACAAGCTAGAAATGAAACCAACTTACTAGTGTTGTTATTTTTCAAAATTATATAAAAAAAATCAGTATAGTGTACAGTATTTCCAAATCAAGATGTGAAAAAATGTCTCCAAAAGTTTTTTTTTAAATAAAAACAAGGGCAGAAAAAAACAAAATATATCAGGGGGTTGGAAAAGTATTTTGACTGAATTACCATTACTAGGTTCTTCACTTTCAACATCCCCTGGAATCCCATGTATAGAGGCTGGATCTAATAGTTGAAGAATTGCTTCTTCAATTGCAGTGTATGTAATTTCAATTTGGAGGCCGCCACCTTGAAGAGAAAATATAAATAATAACTGTCTTACTGTGAGCTGTGGTTACATACACTATATGCTAACTATGTTATATTTGGCAGAAATCATAGTTACAAAGGAATCTACTGAAATAGTTCCAAACATTATAACCTAACCTATCATTATAGCTGTAGCCACAAAAATTCTCCTTTATCTATGTCAAAAGTTAATTAGATTTAAGGTAACAAACAATAAACGGTAAAATAAGTCAAAAAAAAATAGTCGCAGCCAGAAATTTTCAACCTGTATTAGTTGTAAACTCAAAAGATAGAACATCCTTGCCTATAAGCCTAACAAAGTAAAATTTACATATTAATGTATACCAAATATGAATATAAATCTATTGATGAATGAAAATTAACGACATAAAAAAAGGAATTCTATGGCAACTTATACATTATGACCTTCATTACCGTCGGAAATAACGTAATTATTAATATGTAGTTTATAACAGTAACCAAACCTACCTAACCTAGCTTCCTTTACCAACGGGAGACCTCCGCCGCCCTGCCACACAAACTCATATTAACTATCTCTGTTCCACGTCAGTTGCGACACAATGACAAGTGTGTCTTAAAATTGTGTAATCTATATGATAGGTATAATAAGAAAATCCAAAAGTTGTGGGGAAATTATTAACAGTTGTACAGACTTCCCTGACTACCGGGTGGGAAGATATTGGAAGCATAATTTGTTGTCTAATGGTAGACCCTGCTGCCATATGGCATCACGAAAATTAGGAGCAAGTCCAAGGTTGCTGATCTGACTAAATGTGTCATTTACACACAATTGCAGGGTCGCAATTGTTTCTCGTAATATCAACAACACAACATACATACTGTATATTGATTCTCACTTTTTGTGTTTTCATTTCGGTATTTATGGTTATTTATTATTAATATTATTATTAATAAAGAGGTATTTTTATTAATAGTACTAAAGAATTATTATTACAGGCCCCGACGTGGGTCAGTGACTGTGCCTGGGTTGGTTAATCCACGTAAAAAAAAAAAAATAAATAAAATAAAATGGTTGAACTGTAAAGTTTTTACTATTTACTCACACGGAAAACTTCGAAGAACGATGTTTCTTTTAATGAATGCGCTCATATAAGGAAAATATGTGTATTCATTCACGATGGAGAGCCACCACACTACTTACTTCCTTGAGTTTACAAACACGAAAATCGTACCAAGCCTCAGAAAAACCATAGTTAAGTTTGTTTCATATTGTCAATCAATAACCACGCTAACAATATTAAGACTTACCTGTTCCACCAGCATATTTCTTATCTTGTGCTGCTTTTTTCTTAACGCTCACACGAAGATCAGCAGAAAACTTCCGCCGAATTTCAGTAACATTGCGGGTGACTCTACCAACAGCATTCACCTCATTTAACACTTCACCCCAGGCTGGTTTTTGAGTTGAAGTGTACAACTACTTGAGTCCAACTTCCCTAAAATCATTTCTTGTCTTTTGGCCACCTCAGTCACAAGAGCGTATACTTCAGCCTCACTGAAATTAGGTCGTCTCTTCTTGGCTGGTGGTCCTTCCATGTTTACACAATAATATTACGTGCGTCGCTCTCAGCTGATTTCTCCTTCTCTTGTGATTGGTTGATGATTTTGTTAACTGAGCGTTGATTGGCCCACTAGCGTCTGCACTGACATCTACCGTCCGACAAGAGAACTTAATTTACAGGGTAAACACTAGAGTTACGAGAACTTATGGTAGTCTTACGGAACCATAATTAAATTTTGAGTATGCTAAATTTATGGTACTGTAAGGCTTCCACAATATATGGTACTGTATCATGCTGTAAAACGTAACTTATGAGGTGTTTTGAGTATCCGGCCCCAGGGGTCTTTGTTATGCTCGATATAGGGACTTTGTTATACTGGGCCAGGAGACTTTTTAAAACACAATCAGCGGACTTTGTTATACTGGACCAGGGAACTTTTTTATGCTCGATTAGGGGACTTTGTTATACTCGACCAGGGGACTTTGTTATACTCGATGAGGGAACTTTGGTATACTCGACTAGGGGACTTTTTTTATAATTAATCAGGGGACTTTCCTATATTTGACCAATGGACTTTGTTATACTCGATCAGGGGATATGTTATACTCGATCAGGGGACTTTGTTATACTCAACCAGAGGACTTTGTTGTACTCGATCATGGGACTTTGTTATACTCAATCAGGGGACTTTGTTATACTCGATTAGGGGCCTTTGTTATACTCGGTGAGGGGGCTTTGTTATACTCGACCAGGGAACTCTGTTATACTCGATCAGGGAACTTTGCTATACTCGACCAGGGGACTTTGTTATACTCGACCAGAGGACTTTGTTATACTCGATAAGGGGACATGTTATACTCGATCAGGGGACTTTGTTATATTCAACCAGAGGACTTTGTTATACTCGATCAGGGGACTTTTTTATCCTTGACCAATGGACTTTGTTATACTCGATGAGGGGCCTTCGTTATACTCTATCAGGGGATTTTTTTATACTCGACCAGAGGACTTTGTTATACTCGATCAGGGGATATGTTATACTCGATCAGGGAACTTTGTTATACCCGATCAGGGGACTTTGTTATACTCACCCAGGGAACTTTGTTACACTCGATTAGGGAACTTTGTTATACTCGATCAAGGAACTTTGTTATACTCGACCAGGGGACTTTTTTATAATTAATCAGGGGACATTGTTATACTCGATTAGGGGCTTTTGTTATACTCGATCAGGGTACTGTGTTATACTCGACCAGGGGACTTTGTTATACTCGATCAGG